TTGGTAATATCAGGACTGTGCCTTTTCACTTGTCAACCTTGGGTTTGTCAGGTTCAGCAACCAGAAGCTGCCTGAGTAAAGAGATGCCTCTAGCTTCAGTGGGCCAGGAGCAAGAGGCAGAGCTGAAGCCTAAAGTCAAGGGGTTTTCACCCAGCCCCTAAAGCCTGGCACTTTGAACTCAGATTTCTGGCCTCTAAAACTGTGAGAATAAACTCCTGTTTGTTAAAGCCATCTCATTTGTGGTATATTCTCGTCAGAGCAGCACTAGGTAACCAAAGCACCACTCATCTATCCACTCATACATCAATGTTTGCCATCACTGACAGTGCAGTACTCGATGTGTAAAATGGTTCATCTTTGTTGTCTGTACCTCCCATGCACCTCTCTGTGTCTTCCTCTTCTTCAATGCCACTGTGTTAATCACTCACATTTGGTACATTGCCCTTCTCTTCATCCAAATCAATACTTGTCTCTACCTATCTAGCATTGTTCCCTCCCTTTCCACTCCTACCCCTGGTAACCAACAAAGAAAATTTCCTTCCATATATATAACTTTTCCTTGACTTTTTACAATAATGCACTAATACAGTATTTGTCCTTATTTGATTGACTTATTTCATTCAGCATAATGTCCTCCAAGTTCATCCATGTTATGCAGTGTTTTGTAGATTCTACACTATTCTTTACGGTTGCATAGTATTCCATTGTGTGTATGTACCATAGTTTGGTTATCCATTCTTCTGTTGATGGGCACCTAGTTTGTTTCCATCTTTTAACTATTGTAAATAGTGCTGCAATGAACATGGGTGTGCATGTATCTGTTCTTATCCTGGCTCTCACTTCTTTAGGATATATACCTATATTATTTATTCTTCTTCAGGGAGATTTCCTAATTCTTTAGTTTGGACACTTGTTTCTACTATTTTGTCCTATCTTTCTTTGTTTGTTTGATTTGAAGTTGTCTGTTGTTTCCTAGACATTTTGAAGTTGCTGTCTTTGTTGGTTATGTGCTGATTTGTTTCACCTTAGTTTTATGTTTCACTTTGTTTTAATATATCTGGAAGTGTGGAGCTGATATTCTTCTTTGGTTGTTAGATTGGCTATACATAGCTTTCTCTGTGTTGATGGAGTAACTGGTGGAGATGTGGGTACAGGTCTCTGTCGTGAAGAGGAGGTGAAGCTGGGATGAGCAGGTGTTGTCCACTGTCTGTCATTGATCCTGTGGTGCAGGAGCTACTGGTGTTTCTCATCTTTTGGGTAAGGTGGTCAGTGTCATAGATATGGCTACCTAGTAGAGGATTGGAGCTCTGGTAGCAGAGTGCCTAAGGCATTTGACTGCTAGCCAGAAGGTTGGCAGTTCAAACCCACCAACCACTCCACAGAAGGAAGACTGTAAAATCTACTTCCATAAAGATTTACTGCCTTGGAAACCCAAAGGGGGTTGCTCTGAGTTAGAATCAACTCGATGGCAGTGAGTTTGCTTTCAGTTTTTGGTAGTGGAGTGTTAACATGTTCCACCCATTGGATGAGGCAGGAAATAAAAAGAGAAAAAAAGAAAGCCAAGGACAAGAAGGAGAAATGAAAAAATAATATAAAAATAGATTATAAGAAATAGGGGAAAAGGAAAAAAATATAAGAAAAAGAGAGAAAACAAAAGTGGGGTGTGTGTAAAATGGATGAAAGTTTGGTGAAAATGAAAGAAGATGAGAAGGTGGAGGGGTAAACTGTCAATAGAAAAGAGGGAAAATTGGGGAAGAAACAAGTAGAAAAATGAAGGGAGGAGAAGGTAATTAAGGAGGGATTTTTCTAGTTATGTTCAGTCAGCGGCCCTGGGAGCTGGCTGTTGTGGAAGAATATGCTCCTTCACCGGAGTGCATGTCCACATAGGAGAAAGGAGATTGGCCCAAGAAGTGACCTCCAGGAGAGAAGGCTAAAGCTTACTTTCTGTTGTTAGTGTGAGACAGGTCAGCCAGTGATTCAGGCATGGGAGGACAGCTGCAGGCCCTGGGTCTGTTTGGAAAGGTTTGGTGACAGTGGTGTTCAGCCATCAATCAAAGCCCTGCAGTTCAAACCTGCTAGCAGCCCTGCAGGAGAAAGGACAGCTCTCCTCAACAAAGATCCACAGGTCCTGAAACCCCAGGCCTCAGTTCCACTTTGTGCTTTGTGCTAAAAAGGTTGCTAAGAGTTGGGCTTGGGCCCTGTGTTGTTGTTGTTATTTGCCGTCGAGTCGGCCCCGACTCATAGCGACCCCTCCTTGGGTTTCCGAGGCAGTATCACTACGGAAGTAGGAATGCCCAACCTTCCTTCGGAGGAGTGGCTGGTGGGTTTGAACCGCCAGCCGTCTGGTTAGCAGGCAAGTGTCTTAGCCACTATGCTACCAGAGCTCCTCCTTGGGCCCTGTAGCATGGGTCCAATTTGGGGTTTGGTTTATTTGAGGAAAGCTTTTCTTCCCTGCCCCTTACTCTCTCCTGGACTCTGTGGCATAGATTAAGCTATGGAAAGTCTGATCCATTTCCCAATACAATCTTCTCCCATAGGTACAGCATTTTCTCTCACATGCAAGGCTTTAGCTCACCTTGAAATCCTCCCAATGTGTGTTCTCTGTGTCTTTAACACCTGTTGGTTCCATTAAGTTTTTTTTTCCCCCTCCTTGACCTCTTTTGTGTTTCTAATGCCTTCTCTTCAGCCCAGCCAGCTTTTTTTAAAAAGTTCTCCAGTCATTAAATTTGTTCCTTTCCTATAGTCACTTTATCTTCTCATTCAAAGAAAATAAAAAACACAAACTCACTGCTGTCAAGTTGATTCCACTTATAGTGACCCCTCCTTGGGTTTCCAAAGTGGTATCACTACAGAAGTAGATTGCCCAACCTTCCGTCCCAGGAGTGGTTGGTGGGTTTGAATCACCAACCTTCTATTTAGCAGTCATATGCCTTAGGCACTACGCCACCAGAGCTCCTGTTATTAGATGCTCATAATTCCAGGATCATTATTTGCATCTGTTCCACTGAGTTTCTCAAAACCTCTGTTGAAAGAAGGATCTGGCACTGGTATGTTAATAGAACGCCATATTCCAAAACCCTGATACACTACCTGTTCTATCCATTAGGGTCTTGAAGTCTGTATTATTGTTGAATTGTCTTTGTTTATTTTGTTGGTTTTTTCCTTCACATAGTTTAGACCTCTGTTTTTAGTGTGTATTTGTTTATAATTGTTATGTTTTACTGACAGACTGACCCTTTGCCATTATTAAATTTATCTCTAGTAAAAATTTTTTCTTTAAAAGTGTATTTTGTCAGATGTTAATATATGCATTCCAGATTTCTTATGATTAGTGTTTACATGATACATCTTTTTCCAAATTTTTATTTTCAACCTATTATTGATTGAAGTGTGTTTCCTATAGATAGCTTATAATTGGACCTAATTTTCTTATCTAGTCTGACATTCTCTGCCTTTTGATTGAATTGTTTAGCCCACTGACATTTAGTAATATTATTGATATATCTGAATTTATGTCAATCATTCTTTTTGTTTTCCACATATCTCATGTCTTTTTGTTGCTTTTTATTCCTTGCTAATTAGTTTCTTTGCCATTGATTACATATTTTTTTGTGTAATATTTTAATTCCTTTAATGATTTTTTCACTATTATTTTTTATGAGTCATCTTTCTAGTGGTTGCTCTAAAGCTTACCAAATACATCTTGACTTATCAAAACCTGCCTCAGACCTCAGATTTATAGTAAATTAATTCCATATACAGAAATGTTATTCTTATATAGCTCTATTCCTTCCATTCCCCTTTTTTCTTGTCCTTTGTCATTTTATCTATTGGGAATTTTATATATCTTTTATAAATTTGAAGGAATTCTTTTTCTGAGTTAATTCCAACTCTCACAGACCCTACAGGACAAAATAGAACTGCCCTAAGGCTATAATCTTTGGAATCAGACTGCCACATCCTTCTCTAACAGAGTGGCTGGTGGGTTTGAACCAGCAACCTTTTGGTTAGCAGTGAGTCACTTAACCTCTGCACTACCAGGGCTCCTTTTTTGTAGATAAGCCAACTGTAATAAAGACTCCATTTTGAAGTTTGACCTCAGACAGCCTTCAAGTCTCCACTTCTCCCATTTTCCCTTAGCTCTACCCATCATGGTCTACATTCTTCATTCCTGGAGCCCTGCATCCCTTGTGCCCTCTGTCCCTCTGCATGGGCAGAAATGTTATCATGAAAGCTCAGCCTGAGTGTGGAAACCTACACCTAACCACAATAAAAATTCAAAGTACCCCTTACTCTTATTTCATTCCAAATAAAACCAGAGCCCTTCTCCTTGGGAAATCTATTGTGTTCACTGTACAATAAACTTTATTTCACATCCTTGGTGTCCATGTGTCATTGTCATGTCTTCTATAATTATCTGAGGTGGGACAGGGTATCCAAAAACCAAAACCAAACTCACTGCTCTCAAGTCGATTCCAACTTATAGCAACCCCTCCTTAGGTTTCCAAGGCAGTACCTCTACAGAGGTAGATTGCTCAGTCTTCGTTCTGAGGAGTGGCTGGTGGGTTTGAACTGCCAGCCTTCTGCTTAGCAGTCAAATGCCTTAGGCATTATACCATCAGAGGTCCTGGGACAGGGTGTAAAGACACCCAGATAAAACACCAACTGACAAGTTTTGCTTAGTTGTGTTTCAGAATAACTTGCAAAGGCATTGGGAATTCTCTCTAGTGTCTAGGAAGTATTCCAGAGAAAAGAGTGACTCACTGGTATCCATGAGTAAGATACAATTTGAAATATATTAAAGCAAGTTTCTTAAGAAAAGTGTTAATAATACACAGTAGTAAATTTGAAATGATAAAATTAAATAATGTTTACTAGAATACTGAAAATCTATCTTCAGTTAGAATTTTATCATTGTTAAACAGAAAACATTTTAAAATAAAACTTTTTAATATCTAAATTGTACATTAAATACCAAAAAACAAAATCCCAGTTCTTACCCAAAAGGCACACCAAGGGCACCCAGAGGAGTCACCAGGACAGTAGGGACTGCTGTATAAGCCAAGAAGTTTCCAATCTGGCCAACAGCCACTGTCAAGAGAATCACAAGGTTACCACTTGCAGTCATAGTTATATTTTAGCATTGATCACAGGGTTTAATTAAAGTTTTAAGGCTTTGCCTTAAATAGGTTAATTCTTTACCATTTGTTTAGATTAAACCTGGAGCATGATTAACTTGTTTAACAGTTGAAATGGCAGAAAACAGCATGTCCAGCAGCTTCACTAGGTCAAAGTAGTAAGATGAGTAGTTTTCAGCCATCTATGAAAATTCCCAATCTAACCAACAGTGTTGCAACATAGGAGCATATTTATGCTTTCTCCTTAACACAACATTGGTTTTTTAAGATCAGTCACAGAGCTTCTCACATGCCTTCACAAAGGGTTTCTTCCCTTTCGATGAGCAGGGACTATTCCATGGTAAGCAGCAGGGCCACAGTGACACACTGCTGCACACTCAATGAAAACACAACTGCTTGCACAGGACCACTTTCTTACGTGTGAATAGACTTCACAGAGAGGAGAACATAAAGATGAGTACCTCAATGAAAGAATTCAGTATTTACCAGAAAATCTCTTGCCTGAAAACCAGTATGTGACATATAAATCTCATGATATTTCTGAAATATCTAATGCATTTTTCTGTTATGTATTTACACTTGATTAATGCATTTTTGCATTATACCAACACATGACTGTGACCTGGCCATGAAACGCTCCTTTATAAGGACCAATTCTGTGGAGTAAAAGTTGGTAGCCTGACACATGGAATTTCACCAAATGCCTAATAGCCGAACTACAGACAAGTAAGCCTCCAACTGTCTCTGAAGAAATTTTTAAATCCTTCATTCCAGGAGAGTTTGATCTAGACTAAGTCCAGGGCTTAAAGCAGGCAGTAGGAGCCTCTGCCTCCTCTATGACCTCCTAGCCTATCTTCAACTTACCCTGTTCCATCCTATTCCCTTTCAGCTAGGGGAAAGAAGCTTGGAGGAGACAGAACTGAGACACTCTGCAAGAGGTAGAGGAGGGAGGGCATTGGGGATGGCATACCCGACCCTGGTAAGCTGTAGAATTATACTACATTCCAAAGAATAGGCTCATTCCACCCACCTCCAGCCCTATATAGACAGAATGACTGATCTTAAGAAATTAAAAGAACAAACTCCTCAACCTACAGGGTACTTACTTGCAATTGTACCAGCCCACCATACAATGTCTGTTAAATAGGAAGTACCTATAAAAGAGTGACATAAAAACAGATACACTGTTAGGAAAGTATAAAATAAGATATTTACAAGCCAAATGCTTACAAGAGGCATTTTAAAATGAAAACTGTTTCAGTTACCGAGTGCCACTCTGACGAATATACCACAAATGGGATGGCTTAAACAATTAAGAGTTTATTCTCTTACAGTTCTGAAGGCTAAAAATTCAAGTTCCAGGCTCTAGGGGCTGTGTGAAAGCCCCTTAACCTTGGGCTTCAGCTTTGCCTCTTGCTCCCGGCCCACTGAAGCTAGAGGCATCTCTTCACTCAGGCAGCTATTGTCTGCTGAGGCTAACAAGGCCAAGGTCGACAAATAAAATGGCACAGTCCCAATGTTACCAAACCACATGGCAGACCATTAATTCAAGTCCACTGAAAGTCCCAAGGTTGGCAGACCATGGCATGCTGCTGAACAATGACACAGCTACATGCAAGGTTCAAGCATGCCATAAGCTAGAGACCATTCCCAAAGCTGCTGCTCATATACGAGAAGCAGATCACATACCCAAAGCAGCTACTCAGCTGCTCCAATAGATTTCACCATGGAGTTAATTACCAATCTCACCATGGGGAATAAATATCACCAGCTGCCCAGCCACTCAACCAGGCCCAACCAAGTTGACATACAACTTTATCTACCACAAAAACTAAAATGGAAAAAATGAATTACATACCCTATAAAGAATCTCTAAATTAGTCTAAAAAACAGTATAAGAAACTAGTAACAGTGACTATGTAAAGACATATATATATTTGGCAACTAACAAAGGCCAATACAAACCAACCAATAAAACCATTTATAAATTCATTTTCTTTAGCTCAATAACCCCTTTGGAGATACAAATATTCTTTGAAACAAGGTTTTATGTTGGTCTCAAATGAAAGTTGATCTTTCAAGCCCAAGTCTTGGGCATTTACTGTATCTATTTACATGGTAAGTTTACTATATAGGGCTCAAAGACTACCCTTTTCATAATTTAAACTCCCTCTAATATTCCTCTTTTTTCAGCCATTTGGGCATCACACCTTTACATTCACCCAATGTTTTTCCATCTTACACAATGCTTTCACATGGATTCCCTCAGGCTGTCCTTGGGCAGCAGGCAAGAAGAGATACAAGGAGCAGCCCAGGCCTCCGCATCATATTGGTCCCTCTTCCTGCCCTGTGTGACAGGTACCTGGAGAGAGAGAGAGAGTTTCCTAACCTTTGAAACACATGTTTATTCTTCTTTAGATATGTCAAAATGCTCCTAGTCTGAGAGATTTTATTATGGCAGATTAAAGTACCTACTTTTAATTAGAAAGGAGCTCTAGTGGTATACTGGTTAAGGCATTTGACCACTAACCAAAAAGGTCAGGTTTGAACCCACCAGATATGCCACAGAAGAAAGATGAGGCAGTCTGCTTCTGAATCCCAGTAGGGTCGGTATGAGTTGGAATCAACTCAATGGCAGTGATTTGGGGTTTTTTGGTTCTCAATTGGACATTTTAATTCTCAGTAGTAAAACCTCAGTAATGTAGTAAAATGACCATGAAAGCCAGCCAACTTAATGAAGAAAGGGAAGAGAGACAGATACTACAATACATGCTTAAAAAATGAAATGGGGCCAAAAAATAAATGCAGAGGAATTACAAAGTTACGAGTATTATACCTTTTGGCAACATCACAATAAAAATTGATTTAGGCAATAATCATCACTAAAACAAGTAGATGAAAGTTTGTTGAAGAATAGGATTGTCACATAGTCTAGATAATGTGCCTCCATAAATTATTTATGAATTATAAAGGAGAAAAGTTACCTTTACAATGGAGAAGCCTGGCAGACACCACCTTAACCAAGTGGCCAAAGTTATAATCACCAGCAATGACACAAACTGAAATCATGTGCCTCCTGAAAGGATGCACTGAAAAGGACACAGCATCATATCTGTGATATTCCTGCCAAAATAAATGAGGGAACACAAACAAACCAAGTTGTAAAATAATCCATAAATGAACTGGCCTATATGCACACATGCATGCACTGCTGTCAAGTTGGATCCAACTCATAGCGAACCCTCCTTGGGTTTCTGAGGCAGTATCTCTATGGAAGTAGATTGCCCAACCCTCCTTCCAAGGAGTGGCTGGTGGATTTGAACCACCTGCCTTCTGGTTAGCAGTCAAATGCCTCAGGCACTACTCTTCAAAAATGGCAAGATCATGAAAGACAAAGAAAGGCTGAAGAACTATTCCAAACTAAAGAAAATTAAAGAGGCACAACGACTAACTGCAACACAAGATAACAGGCTGGAAAAAAGGGTGGTTTGAAGGACAGTATTAGGCACTTGACAAAATTTGAATATGGATCTCCATAGATAAAAGATTAACAAAACCCCTTCTCTTTCTGCATAAGAATTTAATCTATGGTTCTCTTTCTGACTCTAGAAAGCTGATAGCCACGTTTATCCAAAAAAAAAAAAAAAAGTCACTGCCAGTGAAGTCGGTGCCAACTCATAGTGACCTGTACTTGGGTTTCTGAGATGGTATCTCTATGGAGATAGATTGCCCAGTCTTTCTTCCAAGGAATGGCTGGTGGGTTTGAAATGCCAACTTTCTGGTTAGCAGTCAAATGCCTTAGGCACTAAGCCACCAGAGCTCCCAGCCATGTTTATAGGTGTTATAAATGATTCAGAAATGGCCTCTGTGTATTGGTCCAAAGTTGTTTACTTTTTCATAGCAAGCTGAGGCCTGTTAGCCCAAAAAAAATCCACTGGCACCAAACTCAAATTTAGACATATCTCACTGTTTTCATGAATAACAAACCAAAAAACCCAACTTACTGCCATCAAGTTGGATCTGATTCATAGTGACCCCTCCTTGGGGTTCCAAGGTCGTGTCTCTACAAAAGTGGATTGCCCAATATTCCTTCTGAGGAGTGGCCAGTGGGTTTGAACCGCTAGCCTTCTGGTTAGCAGTGAATGCCTTACGCAATATGCTACCAGAGCTCAAAGAAACCAATTTTGAGCCATTTGGAGCAAGCCTGATTTAGATAATCTATGAAACTGCAGCCAACATCTGGTAGTCATGTTGTTGTTGCTGTTAGGTGCCATGGAGTCAGTTATAGTGACCCAATGTACAACAGAAAGGAGCTCTGGTGATGCAGTGCCTAAGGCATTTGATGGCTAATCAGAAGGCTAGTGGTTCAAACCCACCAGCCATTCCTCGGAAGGAAGATTGGGCAATCTACTTCTGTAGTGATACTGCCTTGGACACCCAAGGATGGGTTGCAATGAGTCGGATCTGACTCCACAGCAGTGAGTGAGTACAACAGAAGGAAACACGGCCTGGTCCTGTGCCATCCTCCCAATCGCTGCTGTGCTTGAGCCCTTCATCCAAGCTACTATGTCAATCCATTTTGTTGGTCTTCCTCTTTTTCACTGACCCTCTACTTTACCAAGAATGATATGTTTCTTCAGGGACTGGTTCCTTGTGACAACATGATCTAATGTGGTGGTTATGTTTGTATGTCAACTTGGCTGGGCCTGGTTGAGTGGCTGGGCAAGTGGTGGTAGTTATTCCCCATGATGAGACTGGTAATCAGCTCCATGGTGGGATCTACCACAAGCAGCAGAGTAGCTGCCTTTGGGTATGTGGTCTGCTTCCTGTATATAAGAAGAAGCCTTGGGAATGTTCTCTAGTTTATGGCATGCTTGGACCCTGCATGTAGCTGTGTCATTGCTCAGCAGCTTGCTATGCTCTGCCAACCTTGGGATTTATAATGGACTTATGTTAATGGCCTGCTGTGTGGTTTAGTAATATCAGGACTGTGCCTTTTTTACTTGTCAACCTTGGGGCTTCTCAACCTCAGCAGCCAGCAGCTGTCTGAATGAAGAAACACCTTTAGCTCCAGTGGGCCAGGAGCAGAAGGCAGAGCTGGACCCCAAGGTTAAGGGGCTTTCACCCAGCCCCTAGTGTCTGGTACTTCAACTTGAACTTAAAGCCTCCAAATTGTAAGAATAAACTCCTGTTTGTTAAGGCCAGACCATATGTGGTATATTTCTTGTCAGAGTGGCACTAGGTAACCGGAACACCTATGTAAGTGAAAAGAAGTCTATTCATTGTCGCTTCTAAGGAACATTCCATCGGTACTTCCTTCAAGACAGATTTGTCTGTTTTTCTTGCAGTCCATGGTACATTCAATATTCTTCACCGATACCACAATTCAAGTGCATCAACTCTTCTTCAGTCTTCCTTATTCACTGTCCAGCTTTCACCTGAATATGAGGTGGCTGAAAATACTATGGCTTGGGTCAGATGCACCTTAGTCTTCAAAGTCCCGTCTTTGTTCCTTAACACTTTAAAGAGGTGTTTTCCAGAAGATTTGCCCAATGCAATGCATATTTTGACTTCCTGACTGCTGCTTGAAGAATGAAGAAAACCAAGAACACACGGAAACAAATAGTCCGAGGGACTGGTATACCATGCAGTCCTCAGCCTATACGACTATGAGACCAGAAGAACTAGATGGTGCCCAGCTACCACTGTCAACCACTCGGAGGGAGATCAATCTAGGAGATCCTGGATAGAGTGGGAGAACAATGTGGAACAAGATTCAAAATCATTAAAAAACAAAAAAGAGGGACCAAGTTTGCTGGTCTGATAGAGCCTGGTGGAACCACTGAGACTATGGCTCCTAGCTGCCCTTCAGGTCTGGAACTGAACCCACTCCTGTGGCTTCTAGCCAAACAAAAGACAGGCATATGAGCTGAACATTTACATTAGGCAGAAATACTCCTTGGAGAGATCAATCATAGGAGAATAGAAGGGCTGTGTATACACAGGGAGACAGCTCACTGGGCAGGAGTGCATAGGAGGGAAGGATACAGGGATGAGGTAACTATGGGGCAGAAGTGAGAGCAGAGCTGTTGTATTGTGGGAAATTGCAGTCAATATCATGAGACAAAATGTATGTGAGCTGCTGTATGGAAAG